ATTCCACCAAGAGCGACGGGTTGTGACTGCTCATCGTTTTGAGGTTCGACTCAATAAAACTTTACTGTTTTTACTGTTTCCAAATAGATTTAATCTCCAGCGATTCAAATCCAATGTAAATCGCTACTTTCGCACAGGCACTGCTCTGAGAGCGCCTTGAGGATTTTCTTGCAGTGCTTTTGTTTTGTCCTTAAAAAAAAGGTTATACCCACACTCAAAAGACAATAAGAAACAGTTTTCTTGAATTCTTTTGCTATATTTCTTAGCTACTATATCAGAAATAGGATCAAATGGAATGGAGAAGTTATTGTTAGATATTGTCGAATTAAAACCGCAACATTTTTATGGACCTATAAATAATTGGAGGTTGTAAAAAGATCAGAAGAAATGACAATAAATCGCCAAAAAATGTTCTCGCCTATCAGCAGTAATATTTGAATAATATTTTCGCCTGATGCCAGACGGTTCTATTTTGAGTCTGATCCGTCCTTGGTAGTCGATTTAAAGACGCTCGGTTGGAGTTCAGTTTTATTTCATTCGCTGTATATTAAGGTTTGATAGTCTCAACTGGCAGCGATCAAAAGCACTGAAAGTATCGTTATAAATATTCTCGACAAGCGGCCCATCATTCCTAAAATGAACAGGTGCTTGCAATTAGAAGGCGGACAGAACTATTTAACGCCATAAACAACACCTTGGCATCTCGTTTATTACGTTTAAATGCCCATTAACAATTCGCAATAGATTTAGCAAAATCGAATGTTAACTGCAACTGTATACATTATTACGTGACTAAGGATTCAATGTTCCACAATCGACTCGAAACTTTATTCAAGCTTTATGGTAGGTGAATTTAGCGAAGGATTTCATATCTTATATTAAAAGGCAAGGAGGGATTGAATATTCTAAACGTTTTCTAGCCTCTCAGTACGGTGACATAGAAGGTTATGTGAGCATAACCCTAATCTGTAATAAAATTCTCAAATGATAGAGATCTCTATCTGACCCTTGAGAAACTCGAGTGTTCTTTGACAATATGCTGTTAAACATAATTTCTTGTCTTTGTTCTAGTGATATTTTATTTTACAACATTTTTATTGCCAGAATTCCTTGTTTTCGGGTTAGATGCATTCACTAAAGTATCCACTAAGGCAACTTTAGCTGTAGGAGACTGGAATACGTTTGCCAGCATAAAAAATCCACGAATGAATAATGTTACAATTTTCATCACTTATTTAATGGAAATTTGTTGTTCATGTCTTCCATAAATACGATAAAACTATATAAATTTAAATTTGAGTCACCACCAGATGTAATACGATTTATCTGTACATACTGCTATTATACACTAACGTCAACTATTATTAGTGTTGGTAAAAATACGGGGTGAAAATTATTAGTATGGGAAGCAGGCTCAACGAACATCCTACAATTTATTACAGATTTACATTATTTGAGAAATACTAGCTCTATTTCAAAGCAACTTTTCAATCTTTCATTTACAGTTTGACGAAGTCATTTGATCTAGTGACCCTGTCTATGATAAGTAGGAAACATGCACTTTGAAATATCTGTGATATTGCAATTTATAAAAAAAAATTAAAAAAAGCTAAATATTTTGACAAAACATTACGATGAAATGTAAAAATATTATTAAAAAGTAAAGTATTATTTTACTTTTATATGAACAATTTTATTGTGTATCTTTTTCATTTATTGAAAAAATTTCTGTTGTGAGAAACGATCAACATCTTTCTTGAATCTCTGTTTGATGTTGATGATTTTTATATTCTCTGAAAATGGGTTATAAAGTGAGAACGTAAAATGCCCTCCACTAACTTTTGAAAAGAACATCATAAAAATGATTGTGGTCACGTGGCCCAGTGTTAAGAGGACACCATCAACTTTTTTTAAATGTAAAGGGGAGTAACGAGGCTCCTGGTTTTGAAGGCCTTTCGAGTCTCTATCCAACACCGCTGTAGTTGTGAAAATCGGCCAAGCCGTTTCAAACTGACAAGTGTTTGGAATTTGCTTCAAATATGTTACAAAGAAATTAAAAACCTATGTAAATAACTTTAAATTGCAACAAAATTTCAAGTAATAATTTCAACTATTTTAACATGTGCTCGAAATGTTCACCGTTCACTTCTCGACAGAAAGAAAGTCGGTTTTGGAATCTAATACTGTAATATGTTGTTCGGTCCATAAGTTCCTGAAGTGACTGTGGCTGCGTGACGTACACCTTAGATTTTATGTACCATCACAGAAAAAAGTCTATAGGTGTCATATCAAGTGACCTAGCTGGCCATTCACTGAGGCCACGTCGGCCTATCCACCGTCCCTTAAAATTCTCGTTCAGCCATTCACGGACAGGTCTGCAGTAGTAAGGGGGTGCACCATCGTGTTGAAAGGTAACATCCATGGAAAATTCATTCGGGTTTGCCTCAACTACTTCTTGAATACTGTAATGGATCTGATTTTGAAGCATATTTGAATACAGATATCCAGTTACATTTTCTGCCATAAATATTTGATAATTGAATGGAACTGGCCGATACTTGATGAAAATCCATATTCAAAAAACTAATAAATAGAGTTTATTCTATGATTTTCACTAAAAGGATTTTACAAAAACCGCGACACGTGTTTCGCTATACAATAGCTTCTTCAAGCATAACTAAAACTACTTCTAAAATACACCTTATATACTATAACCTAGTAACTATTCGTCTACCTAAGTAATAAATCTACCTGAAAAATATTTATCAGTCTGTGGATCATACTGTTGAAAGCTGCTACCTTATGCTAATATGGGTGGGTGGACGAATTATGAATGATAATATCTGTATGTGCCGGTTTACGATAACGGGTAGGTTCAATCCGGAATTGAAACTAGTGAAATCCATAAAAGAGAAATCAGCAGAAGATAACATTGTTTTTACACGAGCTGATAAAGGAAAAACGGTCATAGCCATGAACAAAGAAGAATATGTGGAGAAGACTTTAGACTTTCTAAATGCTGGCATGTACGATAGTCGTAGATTTATATCAGAAAGAAGTAACATTTTCAGCAAGTTACTTTTAGACCCATTCATTAATCTTTGTAACCCTTCCTTTACTCTAATTGTCATCCCACGAGTCTCTTATAAACAAAATGACATGTATTATGTGAAAATGAAACAATATGTCAGGACGAATCCAGCTTCATTAAGGAATCTAAATAAACTATGAATAAAATCGGCATCGGCCACACCGAAATATCTATCAGTCATTTAGCAGTTCCAAAACTAATCCAAATATTATAGCTGACTTATAACGTTCTGTATTGTAGCGGAAGGAGGAAATGGATTGAAAGTTCCAATATGACCAGAGGCGTTACGTCTAAGAAATATCAATTAGCATAAACGTGTTAATACGATGCTTAAGTGCGGATTTTGCGTGAACTATTCGGGACACCATCAATGCTTTCGTTTCGGCAATTCGTACACTTCCGAGTGTGAATCAAATTAATAACTAAAATGAAATTAGAGAAAGAGTTTATAGTAAGAATTTAATGGTAATCGTAATAAAATGTTGAGTGGGTAGAATTTTGGACTGTTATGCCTCAAAACAATTATTGAGTTCAGTAATTTTTTGGTTTCAGTCCAAATATATTTTTATCCAATTGAGTGTTTTGATCTCATCATAGGCAAAGCAGATGCCTCTAGCAAGCTTTCGCCGATTTTAAATACATTGTTGAAATAATTGAATAGGATGTGAGTGTATACAATATACGAGTAAACTAAGCGATGATAATTACACATTTTACAAACTACTTCAAATTCTTTCGTTCGAAAAAACAATATTATTTTCAAGAGTTTAGTATTTATATCAAGGGGAATAAATACAAACGTTCACATTGCTAAAAAATTTATTTAAAAGATGTGAGAGATACTTATTATAAAACATAGGAGAACACATTAATTACTTCTTATCATTGTTTTCAATCTGACAATCTATCAGAAAAATTAATCGGTTGAAAATGAATATTTCTCAATGGAATCTCGAAACACTCATCTCTCCCAACGTATCTACACGGTAGGTTCTGATGAATGGCTGCCGGAAAACAATTACTTCTCCGGCTAATACCACGCTGGACATTGTAAGATGAATCGAAAAAGTCGCGAGACCGTAGGTCAAAGAATTTTCCATTCTAGTTTGTAAAAAAGTTTTTCCAATCACCAGAAATGCAATACTCTTCTTGACGTGCGTTTCACCAACAAAGTTGGCGTCTTCAGGACTCAGTGTGTATCGAAGAAATGGGCATGATTTACAAATTTTTGTTGAAAGAAAAGTATTCTTATAACGGCAGAACTAAATTGACATTCCTCACTTACCTACAGTAATTTGAGGTTCTTTTTAGGCCCTTTCAGTTTAGGTCCAAACAGGTATACATTTTTAATTAGTCCTACTTTTTTGTGTTCGTTGAACTAATTTTCGGCATTGAAATTTGTAAATTGACAAGTATTTTTCACGAATGCTAGAAAACTACATATTGTTATGTACATAACTGTTTATGAAGAGAGACTTCTTCTTTGATTCTTATGGCGGTGTAACAAAAGTTGAGGTCTTCAACATTGTAATATGACTGGAAATGATTAGAACATTTTCCATTCTAAACTTCAGTGGAATATTGTAATTACATTTAAATAGGCATATTCAAGTTTAACGAACCGTTAGTTGAATGGACAATCTTTGACCATTTCAAAATGAAAAAAAAACGTGTCACTCTCTTATTGAGCAAGCAGTGTCTTTTGATTGAAAAAAAAAACAGATGATCGGTCATAGGAAAACATGGACCTAAATGAAATTCCCAAAAATACCCAAAAAGGACGTGAAACTCTACTAGCATAATCAATTAAAAATAAATTATCTATATAAATGTCTCTTACTGGTGTTATTGATATTGTAAAGGATTCCTATTACTCAATTTAATTTATAAATTCGTTCTGAAATTACATGTCAGCACCTCCTGCAAATAAACCTCTGTGCGAAAGTGCCGAAAGAAAGATTGATATTTTTATCTCTTGCTTGGGATAAAAACCAATCGAGCTAATGAATTACGTCAAAGAGAAGCCGAAATGCAATGAGTGATGTAAAGCATTGAATCGTAGGCCCAAGAATTCATTCATCAGATAAGGCGCAGATCGAAGTGGAGATTGCTGTCGATGTCGATACCGACATTAGTCATATTCCTCGAAAATTCTGTGTTGTTCGAGGCTATTTCTGACAGGTATTTCGATATTTGTATTGGTTGGTCTATTCGAACACTTGATTGCAAATCGAAAAAGTTTCTCTATTTCCTGCGATCGATGATTGCACATTTCACTCGTGGTGGTTTATGGGTATTGGATATTTATTGGTTTCGATATTTTATTCAACAAGTTAAGTTTTGGTTCACTCTCAGATTTTACGAATGAATGTGAGTCATTCAATGATATTCAATAACTGAAATGTTGAAAATGGTTTGGTTTATGGCGATTATTTCCGGTTTTTATAAATGAAAGCTGATGAACTATATAAATATTTGGTTCTAAGTGACGGCAACCGATTGAGGATTTTCCGTCATCAACAAAATACAAAACCTTTCAAATTAATCTAAATTTTGTTGTCCTTCGAGACAATTAGCAGTTTGTGCCGTTTAGTGAGTATCGAGTTGTGGCTGGCATTTTTGGAAAGTCCCTTCTGAATCTTTTATTCTTCCTGGAAATGGTGATATGTACCTGAATTTACTACAAAATGATATTATTTCAATTCTTGATATTATTACAGAGAATGATGCTGCATACATTTACGAGAAACTGTGTTTTGAGGTCGCTGGATAGAACGAAGGGGTAATTGTGTAGCCTCCTCGGCCACCCGACTTGAGCCTGTCAGATTTTTTGTGTGGATACATTAAAAATAAAGTGTATATTCAACTAACTCATTGAAAGATCTGTGAAGACGAATAAAAAGTTCAAAGACAACATGTGTTATTGGATTGACTGTAACATACACATCATTATCATTATTATTAACCTCTGGATATGAGGTTACTTATGGTTCCGTAGCAAAGGTTTTTTTACCGAAGTTAAATGTATTTCGAGATACATCGCCAAATCGATACTAGATATTATTCTCGATAAATAAACCATATTTCTCAGGAGATATTTTCCCGAAAGATCCTTCGTTTCAAAAACACAGGGTGTTTTTAGAAGGATTTTTTTAGAAGGATTCAGGATAATGTTTCCATGTACCAGTCCCTTTTTTTTAGGTTAGAACTGAATTTTCTTTCCACTCCTCCAAACATAAAAATCCAATGGAATTAATTCAGGACTAGAGGGTGGCCATTTTGTGGTGCATCCCTCGCGTGGCCAATTCATCTATTTCTATTCATCTATTTATCATCAATTCATCTATTTATCAGTGGTGATTCAACTATGCTCTTAACTCGTCTGTTCAACAAGGTGTGGCAATGTTATGCATGAACCATATATCTGTATCTGTAGAGTAGGGAGGGTGAGTGTAAGCCTACAGCACTTAGGCCACATGGGACCCATAGTACATCCTCCCGAGGAGTTGTCCTCCTAGGTCATCGTCCATCCTATCCTTTCCAGGAAAGTGGCCAGGTCACTAGGAGACATCTCCTTTATATCGGCAGGTGAAGGCCAAGACTCGCCGAACACACACTCTCTCATTAACGATAACTCCGGACACTAGCATAGGACAATGGACCATATATATTAGTTTCGTCAATTGAGGGCTCATCCTCCAGATCCAGAAGTTCAATTAACTTGTTTTTCGACCGTGGTTGTATAGGTATATAAATGTGTACATTGTTAATTACCTTAGTTTATTGTATTCTTTCGAAAATGTCTCGCATTAGAATGAAACTGCAGTAACGTTAGTCAGGGAAAGTTTAACTTTGCATATTTTTGTAATGGAAAATTAGAATTCCGAAAGGTTTAATAAAAAACAATAAACAATTACATGTGAAGAATTCATTATCCTTTCCGAGTTGTTACTCAGTATGTTTGCAATATAAGAGGTTATTTCACCATTCAAGTTATTTTATTTGAATTGATGGCGAAAAACTACTTTGCTTTCACTAAAATTATTCACCTATTAAAAAAACTTTCGACAACCACTCTTTTTGTCCTTGGGACTTTAGATAAGTAAAATTATGCAGGATATTTTGTTGTAATTTGTATATCAACAAAGGTCCTACGAAAGCGAGTTGGGAAATTTATTGGAATACCTTATAAGACAAAAAATAAGACTGATCCAGGTCCATATTTTCTCCGGAATTTTTTTATTTCTTACTAAATAAAATTATTTACTTTCGATGGATTATCTGATTGTTATTCCCGTTCATTGTATAGTGGAAAAACAAACAAAGCATGCAAGTTTTTACCTATATGGTGTACTTGTATGATGTATTAATGCTGACAATTTTCTTTTAACAAGTATTGTTCATACTAAAATAAATGTTATACATATTAGGTGAAAGCGATCCCGTTACGAAGACGCCATTCATGAAATCGACGCTCCAAAGCGATCCCTTATAAAGCCAAGCTTCTACATCGACCGCCGAAAAGATTCGTTCATTGTCTTTCACTTCAAGACAATTAGTCGATAACAGAGCCCAAAAACTGTTTCTAAAGAAAGTTTAGTCCAGCAATGCATGCGTTGTTCATCCTAGTACCACCGATGAGGCCTATAGCGGGTCGAAACAGCGTTATCTTCTGTTCTATTACGATTGCTTTATTTTCTGGCTCAGGTTTCGCATCATCAATAAAACCTATTCTTTAATCTTTTGTTGTTTAAATAATTACTCTCTTACAAACTAGAAGGCAAGTCATGTTGTAGCAATAAACATGTATTCGCTTTTATAAATTCGGTAGAAGCCGCATTAGAGCACGCCACACAAACACCCAATAAACTACGGAATTCCGAATATTAGGAGAGCATTATGTTACCCATGGATGGAATGCGAGTGGGATGAGTGGGACTGTCAAATGGGCTCAAACGACAATATATCACACACGTAGTCGTGGGAAATAGAGATATTTCAAAGGGACCCTGGGAATAAATTATTCCAGACGTCCTTGAGGTATACATTACGTGAAAAAATGTTATGTCAGATGATATCTACTCATACTTAAGTAATTATTTGACCAAAACAACATCACAGCATTAGGTGGGGCTGAAAATGGGTTATAGACTGAAAATGTAATAGGATGTGACATATTTTTTGGGTAGATATGAGTCGTGAAAGCGACGTCATTTTTCTCTTTTTTACGGTTACTTGAACGGTGTTTAACTGACTTATACCACTTGGTTCCATCCAAACCGATATATGTCAGAAGTAAGCGGTAAAATACAGCTGACAATGGTACTTCTTGAAAAATATTTTATTTGGATAATGCCGTTTATTCATTTTTCCAAATAAGTACAGTCTGAAGCGATTTTAAGCCAACGTAATTCGCTAATATTGCACAGGCACCGATCTCAGAGCTTTTGCAGTCTTTTTGCATCTCCGTATAAAAGTCAATTTACATTATATTAGAATAGTGAATAGCGTTTCTCAGGAATACCTTTAATCAAATCAATGCAAACATTTATCAATTAAATAAGGGATTACATGCTTTTTGAATGTCTTCGTATGTTACAGGCATTTTATAGAGTCAGGAAAATTTTTGTTCCAATTCGTATATTATCTACGCAAAATTATCTTTTTTGTCTCGAACTGAACTTCTTAGAAACTATGGTTCTCTAACACCTCTTTCTTGAAAACAATATGTTGTCTATTTCTACAGTAGGAAAATTAGTAGGAAGATAATCTATATAGTAGTTTGGTGAGATTAAAAAGTATTTGAGCTGGAGATAGACCATTTTCAGAAATAAAAATCTACATTGCCTTTCTCAACATATTTTTACAAATGTACACACTTTTTTAGCCATACCATTACTTCTGGGAATAGATGTTATTAACGATATGTTGAATTCTTCTAAAAACTGCTTGAAACCCATTAAATTAAAAGATTGATCACCAGCAACAAACAAATCAGGAATGCTATGAGTTGCAAAAATGTTTTCAGGACCCTAGATACCTCTTGTGCCGTTTTGCATCTTAAGGATTTCACTTCTTTTAGGTATATCACGGTTTTTTAGGTATATCACGAGGTGACATTGGTAATCTAGGATTGTTTGGAAATTTAAGACAAACATAGCAATCACATATATAATTATCAATATCCCTAGACTAATCTTTGGCCAAAAAATACTTTCTTGTGCTCTTGCTTCACACTTATTTATTCCCAAAAAACTTTTATTTGATTTGTTTAATATATCACCCCTCACTGTTTGGTACCACCAATCTCTCCATAAAAAATAATCAGTTTTCGATGCATAAATCATTACGAATATTGAAAAATGTTTCCAAACTATCAGATATTTTTTTTGGCCAACCTGTAGAAATTAATTTTTTTACTATCAGTAAAGTGTAATCTCTAAGTAGTGCATTGCATAATGTTTTTTCTCATTACCGATATACGATATACGAATTATCCATTTGAATATTCACAGGATATTTCAATGATCCCTAGATAGCATATTCGTTCTAAAAATTTTTTTACCCGGCAAATATGAAACATAAATATCATATTTGTGAAATTTAAGTCGCATTCTTTGTAATATACTTGAAAGTTAATTGAGATCTTTTTTTTTAAATGTTATCCAACGGTTTATGATCGGTATTAACTTGTACATTATCGTGACCATAAAAATATTAATTGATATGTTCATTCAACTGCATATACTGTAGCACCCATTTCTGTCTCAATACAAGAAGTTTATTTTGTTAATAGTTGTTTTATATCATAATGCCTTAAGCAAGAGGAATAAGAAAGTAATTTTTTGATAGTTTCTACCCGTTCTGAGTATAATTTTTCTGAATTCCAAAGTACGTTATTACAAGTAAGTTGCCTTAATGAAGCTATTATTTGGGATGAATTTGGTATTCTTAAGTATTTGACCAACCATAAGAATCCCTAATTTTTTCCCAACCAAAAACAACAGGTTATTACTAGTCCAAATAGCGAACAGAAAGCCTTCTATTCCTAGGAGGATTTCTTCTTGGTGTATGACTTTATTATGCCTGACCAATTTCTGTTGAAGGCTGTTTAGAAGTTTTCGATGGAATCACCATTTGAAGTGTTATTCTTTAGCTGACTAGTTTCTTCTGGGATGTTTGTTTCAGGTTCAATTCCAGTATTGACATTTACTATTTCTTGCTTGGCTAACAATCGATGATTGGGACTCCGTTTGTATTCTCATCTGATCGCAGTGTTTGCGGCGTAAAACATAACCAATGTAGCCCAGATTGTTCAACAATTTAAATTTAATAAAACTTTTTGTAATGATTTCTCATGTTCTCTTCTATATATTCTCATTATTCGAACATTTACCTCCACTACACAGGAGGTTTGTTTTTTATGTCACTTTTTTTTATTCATAATACTTGATTGAACATTCCAGTAGATGCAATACAAGGCATGACTTGATATGTACTCCTCATAAAGCAGAAAAAAATAATAAGCCGACTTCAAGCCCATCTAACAAGAAATAGTGACGCCACTCCATGTAGCTACGGGTAAACATCTAATGAGAACTTTGTTCCACTGATTCCCAAAAAGCAATTTGTATAACAAGCTGTATTTCTCATCCAAAACCGTAAGTGTCCTGTGTTTATCTGCTGATCTACTACTACTAATTATTCGTTTCATTGTTATAAACCTTTGTATCTCATGAAATAATAAATCACGCATTTTTTTGTATCATACGACATTTCTGAAGAACAAAGTAAGATGCGAGGCAATTAACTGAGGTGATTAATGGAACAACTCTTTCCGCTTTTTAGGAGTTGGTCGTTAAAATACGAGATACAAAATAATTGGTCGTATTAAAAGTTTCGGGAAAGAGGAAATCTTCGGAAACGTTTGGTAGTTTAGTGGTTTCGGTGTTTTTATTGTTGAAGAATTATCGAATTACAACGATGGCGTTGAAGTAGAACTGATAACTGATATAAATCAAGTCGAAGGTCAAGATTCCAAAAAAAATTATGTTCCTCAATATTGAGAAATAATAAATTTTAATAGACTTTTTTCTGGCCAAGAAAATACGATGGTACCTCCCCTTACGAAGACGCCCTATTTGAGAAAATGTTGGATCACGTTATTTTGAGGTTCTGATTTCAACTTTTAGCTTCGCATTTTAGCTTCAGGTGTCGCTTTCACTCACTTGGGCGTCTCTTTTTAGAACAGTTAAGTCCAGCAATGCATTTGTAATTCAGACTAGTACCACTGATGAGACCTATGGCTGGTCGAAACAGTACTATCTGGTTTTGGATCACGAATGCTTTATTAAGGCTGATCTGTTTTATGAGGAAGTAGTGAGATATAATAATAATCAGCAGATATAATAATGACCAGGTCATTCACTACTTCCACATACCAGAATTGTAACACTCACCAACCAAGTTGATGTCATCAGAAAATAAACTATATCAATTTTTGAATTTTAGCACTCAAAAACAAGACATTCATGATCGAACACTAGACAGTGCTGTTTCTCTTCTGCGCTGCTAGGCTGAACCACGAATACATTGCTGAAGTCAACTGTCCTTGAACAAAAAGCCTGAGTGTAAGTATTGATATTAACCTTTCCAAGGACCTTCACTGCAGTCTATCGCAAAATCAAGCTTCGATATCGACCGTTAAATGAGAAATCGCTTCAGGTATTTTACTCTAGAAAAAATTGTCATCTAGTTGACTCTGCTATGCCTGATTTGCTGGTTTCTCCTCGGTGTGTGTGTTTCTTGTGCTCGGCGATGCAAACTTTCAGCAAATCAGGAATAGCAGAGCATGTTTGGACTCATAAACATAACATCAGATGGGCTCAAGCTGAAATCATCCACAAGATGGAACATTGGTCCAGGAGAAAATTCAAAGAAGCCGCATTTATATTGTCCAACAACGCATTTAGCCAAGACAGCGTAGAGATACGCAATATATGGAAACCTCTTATCAAGCAAAACACGATTAACTCCCGCCAAACGGTCAGCTTCCACTAAAACCGATGAAGCGGAGAGAGGGAAGAGGGGATAGGTGAAAGCACTCGAATGACCTATAAATAGTTAGATTTCTGAGGAATAAGTCCAGTTATCACCCGGAGACGATAGTGGATACTAACAATCGAAACGTCGCGAAGCAACTTGGTTTGGAATCTTTTAGTTTTTGATTTTCATTTCTTGTTAATAATTTTTTAATTTTAATGTCGTGTTAATAGTTCAATTTTTTTTGGTTTTTGCTTGTATTTTATATCATTGTAATTTCAGTTTTTTTTACTTAATATAATTGTTATTTTTTTCAGCTAACCTTTTTAATTTTTTACAGAATTTTTTCAGGGATTTTAAATCAATTCATATCATATTAGACAACGGAAGTCCGAACTAATGGAATGCACCATGAAACATTATCAACCACTTTCAAACTAGCCTTTTTTGGTGGAAAATTATCCTCGAAAATTTCCATCAATTTTCAGTAGGGTAATTTGGAAAAGAAGTGAGCAATGGGTTGTTCAGAATAAAAACTTTGTGACTGTTCATGGTTTTGATGTCAGACACTTTGCCCTTTCCAGATTTTCAGAAGCATCCAAAAGTCTAGTGTTATATATATCGATCTCAACAATTTTATGAAATATTCATTTTATACCCATCTCTAGTAACAGGCCTATACAGTCAACGAAATGGGATTCGCGGAGCCTGTTTTTTGAAACCACTTTTGATAGTTCGTTTATTCTGATCAAAAATTTGATACATCCACCACTAGTAGAATCGACGAATTGAGGAAGGGTCTTCTTAGAAAGCAAAATGTGACAAAGGAATGTAGTCGCACCATTTTTTCATTGTAGACAAGGGTCGATGCTGTTGAGAATATATCTCAAAATAATGGTATATTTTTGTACACAAATATAATTTTTACGATATGAACTGGGTAAGAAAAACTAAAAATATAAAGTTTTCTTTCAAATATCTCGCAAACGAGTGGAAATATATTACCCCAAATATTATGTTGATCTGTTTATAATCTGTTTAAAATCTGTTTTTCCGTTAACCAGCTGTCACATCCCTACGAACGACAACCCTCAGAAGTCGAAATTTGTGCGAGCTGAGGATTAACGCGGTCTTGCCTTTTAACGTGTGATTACTAACACGGGTTGGAAGCTAGCAAGTGAAAATCGATCATTCAGACTAGGGCTTGAACCACCAACTAACACGGCAGTCAATTCGAATGAGTGAACAAAGCACCCACGTCGAACCGCCTGGCTACCGACCGTCCTCTGAAGGAGTTCTTTAAAAAAAATCCTAGGTACTCTCTCCTAAAATCAATAGTTCAGAAATATTGGCGAAATATATCGAAATTGACTAATCATAAAGGTTGTGGTATTCATGTTATTGATATTTAATTATAGTTCTAAATTTTTTTCATTAGGTAGAGTGAAAACAAACACGTTTTTGATCATAGTAGATATTCGCATAATAAACCATGCCAGTCTTAAATAATTATACACGATACAAATCACTATTCTTCATTTCATTCATACTCCTCAATGGAGTACGTTTTTATACAATAATATATTCAGTTCCTGAACAAGTTCATTACTTTTGTTCTAATTTTCGGAAGAAAATCATTTGAAGGAGCATCAAGGATGTCTGTAATCACGTGACATGAAACTTCTTGTCACGTGATAACAATATGAATGATTATGTATCCCTGAATCATCCATATTATAATAAAACACTGATCATGCTATTAAAAAGCACACAGGATGATCTACATCTAAGTTAGAGTGCCGAATTCCACTTGAGCATAATATTTGAGACACTCCTTATACATTGATAAACAAATAAACAACACAGATTTACAAGTCTCAAGGGGACGTGGTCTACTTAAGGTACTTGACCTATAATAAGTAGTTTTAATGGAGGTCATCTGCATTTGTTTCTTCAATTTATTCAGTTGATATAACGACATGAAAGATTTAAATGGATAAAAGGCCATTACTCAATTTACGTCATAAGTGGTTTGCGTTCAGCCCAAGGTGTCTTGATAACTAGAGTATTTATTTCATCTGTTGAAACCAAAACCGTACCAGATTTTATGAAGGCTAAAATTTTGTATGTAGGTTCGTTTTGTGTTGTAGATGTGCAATAAGAATTTTGGAATATTCCAACTGGGGCGCTTTCCATGGGAGTAAAAGGGGAGCTTTTACATATGAAAACTACCTTTTCATCACTGTTTTTCCGCATCGCTATACTTTCGGAGGCTGAAATTTTGTATGTAGGTTCGTTTTATGTTGTAGATGTGCAATAAGGAAGAATTTTCAAATATTCCAACTGGGGATCCCCCACTGAGGATAAAAGGGGCGCGTTTACTTATGAAAACTACTTTTTCTTTTTTTTCAAGGACAAGACACAAGAACTAAAGGAAAATCCTTAAAGTGCTCTAAGAGTGGTGCCTGTCGAAACTACTCAGGAAGTTTATTCCCCATAAACGCAATTCTCCAAATGAAAGAGTTCCTAAACACTGAAGTTCAAAGTATACTGAGTTGAACCTCAAAACGATGAGCAGCCACAGTCTGTCGCGTATTTCTGGAATCAAATGTGAACACTTGAACACTGCGTAAAGTATCCATAGAAGAGAGACAAATCCCATCACCGATGTTCCAGACTATCAAAGTTGCAAGTGATGTTCGTGTCTCCAATCAGGTGGATGGCTCTTTTCCGGATGGAATCTAGCAGCTTCAGGTTATGCTTAGGGGAGGAGCTCCATGTATGAGAACAATTCTCCAAAGAAGGTCCGATCGGAGCTTTATAAAGCATCAAAATTTGCTGAGGTGTATAGAGTTTTCTGGTTCGGAACAGTGTTCCAAGCTACTGAGAAGCATCCTCTGCAATTCCAGCTACATGATTGTGCCAAAACATATTGGTCTCCATTTTAACTCCTTATCGAAGCAGAAAGCGGAACTGTCTAACCTCACATTATTATATTCGGTTCGGAGACATTTATCTTTTTAGAGAAAACTGATTTTTCGAGAGTAGAAGTTTTTGTGTTCTCGAAATTGATGTCGTGTCCTGTCCAACACGTATTGGCGACAACGATCAGAGAGGCTATCGAAATTGGAAAAAAGACCTAGTAGTATGAACAAGAGGGATGACGGGCAAATATTACCAGCAAAACGGAGATCCATCTTATCACTCCACAAAAACAAACAGACTGCTCAATCCCAGAAGCAAAACCAAGCACATGATAATACAGGTATAATTTTTCAATTCAAAATAATAATTTATGTGTTTCCGGACAACCCTGTATATGGCTGTCGCATGACAGCAGGACGAGGAATTCAATACAAATAAATGCCAAAATATTCTCACCAGATCAAAGAAAAATTATAATTGGAAATCAGTCGGCTGGCAGGAAAGAAGGAAAATATAAATAGGATATTATTTATTGGTTGAGAGTTTTAAGATCACAGAGACGAAGGATTACCAACACTCGGGGTGAATCAACTTCGTCGAGATTAATAATTAAACTGATTAGTATTATGTCTGGAGCAAGGGAAAACGTTCTTAGTTCTTATTTCCGTTTCAATCACGATTTTAATTTGCTTCGAAGAGACACGGAAATAACAGAGGAATCAGTATTTTCCCAACTGTTATTTATGTTTCTTTATAATGAATGTTTGATTTTATTTTTTACACTAGAGAAACTGGCGTCAGGAACTCTGGAGAAGCTTCACAACATGACTATTTTTTTAATATCAAAAGCAGGAAGGAATACGTAGTTGGTTCGAAGATTTATGTTGTTTGCTTATCTTGAGGTAGTTAATCCGGCCCTTGATGAACTCGCGATGGTGTTGTTTAAACATTGAAAATGAAAATGAAATTACTTTTATTGCTACTTTTGCACTTTTAGCTGAACTATTTGAAGCTTTGACGTCACAACAATCTGGTGAACAGGTAGATTTGCCCTGCATTATATTGTATTTTAAGTTCATTACTCAATAGCAAAATGAGAGTAGTTTGAAACTAAAATAGTTGTATTTCACTTTGATTTATATACACTTTCAAGGAGTAGTAGTAGGTAGGACACGAGACTTGTAAACCAGAGTTCAGAAATTATTATGGATGTGAAGGAGATAATAATCCAAAGCGCTCCACCAAAGAGTGCATACAAAACCGACGGAGACAACAAGCAGAATGCATTACATTGCTTGTCAATAAGATGAACGAAGCAGCCAATCTCGGGTGAGAAATCAATAAAGCAGAATCGGTACTAACTACTCAAAACATAGACCCAATCCTATTAATTCAGGAAAGGGCAGACCGAGAAGCATTTTCCCAACATACAGAATGGGATGAATTTACCCCGAGTAGGTAGGGAGCAGGGAGCGAGAAATCATAATGCCAACTGTTTAAAAAAAATCTGTTTAAAATCCGTTTTTCCGTTAACCAGCCGTCGCATCCCTACGAACGACAACCCTCAGAAGTCGAAACTTGTGCGAGCTAAGGACTAACGAGGTCTTACCTTTTACCTTGTGATTCCTAACACGGGTTGGACGGATAACAAGTGAAAATCGATCGTTCAGCTTGGGGCTTGAACCATCGACCAACACGGCAGTCAATTCGAGTGAGTGAACAAAGCACCCACGTCGAATCGACCGGCTACCGACCGACTGATCTTATCACATTAATGAAACAAACACAAAACTAATGACGAAGTTCTAGCCCAACAAATACAAAAATCAAAAATTGAGGCCGAAAAATACTTACAACAAGTGAGAACGCAAGACCTACAGAGAAAACTTTTTAAAATGGGAACTCCCCAGTAGAAAGAAAAAAATTACAAGTGACGAAGAAGATGAATCGACCATCCTGAAAAATGAAAGAAAGCGAAGGAGAAAGTCAATGATCGACTCCCCCACCAAAATGCTGAAGCTTATGAGGCCCCAACCTCCTACAATGACTGAAGTGCAAGAAACTGAATTTAGAGCATTGAAGGTGCTCATGCGATATATTCGAAGCAGAATAAATGAGAAAATTACAGAGTACAAAACATAAATCATTTTTCTCTCAGAGCTAGTAACAACACAAGAGTTGCAGATTGAGACAGTCAGGCAATACTTCGAAAAGAAGTGTAATGACGATGCCAAGTCGGAGTTCGACAGACTAGAGGGCTTGATGAACAGGAAAGAGCCTACTATCACTACGCAAGATCCAATAATTTACCCCAAGGCCCAAGAAGAAATGTTAAAGAGAAGAAGGAAAATATAAGACAGAAAAATATTCTACCCATTGTTATTGAAGAAAGAGAACCTTTAAATATATGATACCAAGAAATTAAAAGAAGAATCGCACGAGGACTTTGCAGTCAAATAAACTGGAAGCTCTATACCACCAAACGGTCATCGGTTATTTCTTTTTATAAAATTTTATAGTATATCTTTAATTCGGAGTATTCTTCACAAGTTAATTTTTTTTTCAAATATTCCGAATGTAAGTCATAAAAAAAGTATAGTATTCTCTTCGTGACAAACTTTATTCTCATGAGTAATGACTACATTCCTCGTAACTTTCTGATTGTCTTATGTTACGCCACGGCATCAGTATCTGGTCTCCACATATAGAAAATTGAATTTTCCCATCGCTTTCGCAGTAACTAGATCGTCCCAGAGATGATTAGTAGCTTAATTGAATCACAATTACTTCAGTCGAGTCTATTCCATAGATAGTTAGGAAATTTACTTCTATAAGAGCCCCAAGTC